TTGTACATCCTCTTCTTTGGGTCAGGACCCTGAGTTCAAATCCTAACCTTAAGGAGGTCCCTTCACCATTCAGAACCTCAGCCTCCCATCTATAAAAGAGGAGTAATAATGCCGTTCTTGCAGGGTTTCCGGGTCCGTTAAATGAGAGGATGCCTATAGAGCATTCTGCAGTGCCTTGCCCCCTGTAGATGCCCAGTAGAGACACTGAGACTGTCCTGTCTTTTTGACACCCTTTTATTAACTAGGAACCCAATTTAGACAGGTAAATAGAAGAATTTATTGCTCTGGATTAGAAAAGGCTAGGGATGGACTACCTTCAGGCATGGCTTTATCCAGGTGCTCAGTTCATGTCTCTCAGTTCTGCTTTCCTCTGTGTGGGCTTTGCTTGCTGTCCCCTCATGGGGGCAGAATGTCCTCCACCCCAATAGTTTAAGGCTCATCTGCCATCTTTAGCCCTTCCTCCTTAATAACTCCAGCAGAAATCTTGAGATTCAGCCCCATTGCCTTGGTTTGCCCATTCGTGAACCAATTCCTAGTTAGGGAGACTGGGTGCTTCAAAGGGAAGTAACAGCCCCCCAGCGTCTCCCCAAATGGAAGTTGGGGGACTGTTACTAGGACAATGGATGGATTCTGAGTATCTGTTCAGCAGATTCAGAGATATTAAGCATCTTGCTCAAGGGTGCACAGCCATGTGGGGCCCTTGACAAATATCTGATGATTGAGGACCTCTAGGGCATGGGGGAGTCGGGGTTAGGGAGCTGCTGTGGTCTCTGACCCCCACCTCCTCACCCTGCCCAGCCTGATGTGTGAGAAGCGGATCTTGGCAGCTGTGACCAGCGCAGGACACCCCTTTCTGGTGAACCTGTTTGGCTGTTTCCAGACACCAGAGCACGTGTGCTTCGTGATGGAGTACTCGGCCGGCGGGGACCTGATGCTGCACATCCACAGCGACGTGTTCTCTGAGCCCCGAGCCATGTGAGCCTGCCCCCCCACCCACACACACACACCTCCACCCGCAGGCCCTGCCCTCCCCCCAACCCCGGCTCCTGGAACTTGGGGGGACTGGGGGACTTTTGAGGACGTGGGAGCCTTATGTGATCCTCCTCCCTTGCCTGGAGGCCTGGCTCCCTCACACCAGCCTTTCTCCATAGCTTTTATTCGGCCTGCGTCGTGTTGGGGCTGCAGTTTCTCCATGAACACAAG